TCTTGACGATCGAACTGTCACTATTCTGTCATGTAAAGTTTTAACCACCAAGACACGGTCATCACGTCATCAATTTTGGTGTTACGGGAGAGGGTGCTGCCACCACTTGCAGTTGGGTTCCGTTCACGCTGATTTGCGGCGCGTTGGGGGGAGTGGCTGTGTTGGCTGGCCGTTGATGCATGACCACCGTCTTCTGCGTGTTGATGACCAGACCGAAGTTCTCGCAGGCGGCGGAGAAGAGGTTCATGCTCCGTTGCATCTCCTCTTCCGAGGTGGTGTTCAGGGCGCAGTCGTCGGCGAAGAAAAGTTCGTGAACGGTGGTTGAGAGCACGCGCGATTGGAAACGCATCCACATCACTGTCATCATCTTCGAAACAGACACTGAAACCGCCGACTTTTCCTGTTCACACTGTCCGCACCGGCCTGGTCGGTCACTTGAGAATCCATCTCACAGAGACTGGCGAATCAGCGCCTGGAGCACCAACACACACCAGACGTATCCACATCAACTGCCCTCACTGCACCAGCACATTCACCCACGGCATTGGCCTATGAGGCCATGTGCGCATTCGCGAAAACCTGCTGTAGACAACCGCTGGCTACACTACACCATCACATCCCCACCCACCAACACTCACATCACATAACACCATCATCCACCGTAAGCATCCAAACGCCACCTCCCACGTAAGGGAGGAAGTTTGCGTCACAGCTCCGTCTCCATGCGGCTCATCAAGGTGCATCAAGCACCGTGGAGTGGAAGGCTGCTGACCCAACTCAGAGCACGCAGTCTGCTCATCGGTGTGTGTTTTTGTGGAGTGGCAGACTCGGGGGCTGAGAGCCAGGCTGAAACGGGTCCTTCTAAACCTGAACAACGACTACCCTGCTGTGTGGCACACGGTGGACATCATCGAAAACGACGGTCGAAATGTCGCATGTTGTGCACGTTTTACGGGCTGTCTAGTTCTGACGGCCACTGCGCCTGTACCCGGTCATCCTGACACTGTTTTGTCATCGAAGCAATGTGGGAGACGGACGAGAGATTGTGCGGAAGTCTGCCTCACACGCAAGTCACTGGTGCTGCACCCTTTTTGGGGGGGGGGGGGGTGGTGGTCGATTTGATCGCTCTTGACGATCGAACTGTCACTATTCTGTCATGTAAAAGTTTTAACCACCAAGACACGGTCAGTAAGCAAGTGACTCTTGTTCAGGTCTCAGGCAAGGGGCTCATGACGGTAAAAATGCCGAATGTGGCCACCCCCTTGTCGTTATCGATCAGCCACATCTACTTATTTTTTCTCAGTAGTCAGGGGCAACATGCTGGCCTCCCTGCTGGCTCATCTGCGTAGTTGATAATTGGGCTTCTCGCAGGTTATGTAACCCAGGTTGTGGGGTTTAACTTCATCGAGAACCCATGACCTCATAAATTTACGGGGCCGGTAACTCAAAGTGTTTAAGGGCACTGACGAATTCCAGCTTCGGAGCTTGGCATGCTCGTCCATTCTGCTTGTTATCCTAATTCCTTTTCGTTTTCGCCTGCTCTTCCGGCAGCCTGCCACTCCGTGGCATTTTCATTTCTCCGTTATCGGAAGGAAAGAAACGGCTTAACCCCATAAGCGGAAATCAAGCAAAAGGTCAACTAGGAGAAGCTGGCGGACGTGTTTTTTTTTCAGTTTCGGTTCATAACTGTCCGCGCAGTCTGGAAAGGCCTGAGATTCGATTGAATGCCAGTTCGCCCGAGAGGGCGCTAAATCCGCTACACTGCCAACTTCGGATGATTTGACTTTGCAGTCGCGACCGCTTGCCATCGTAGGACTATGACGTACAGTCCTCTGCCCAATCGGTTGCCAAATGGCCGAATTAACCCCCAGGACGCTAACCTCTATCTTCGCTCTACCAGACCGCAGTCTAACCACCTTAGGCTCGGTGGGCACATCTCCTACTACAAGTCTGCAGTTCCCCCAATAAATGTGAGGTCTTTCATTGGAGGGATCAGGTCAGGGCTGCAGATGGAACCGTCCGTCTGAATTTCTGCTATGAATCAGAGCTTGACTAGTTGCCTAATGGGTAACCTGAAAATTAGGACGAAATAAGTGCCCAGTAAAATCTCAGCGAGATCTCTATTAACCTCAAAGCTTGTTCGAAGAATTAGCATAAGTACTCCGCAACTGCTAGATAAAAGTTGAAAAACCGTTTATTTGGATTTCGAAACGTTGTTTTCCTGAGATAAATTTAAAAGAGGCAAAGCCGGCAAAACCTGTAGAATTTACTAGGTAACATTTAATAGAATTTAATGGGTGGTCATGTAACCCCACCTGATGGACACAGTACTGTTGGAGTTGGGGTTACGGGTTAGGGTTAGGCGTTAAAGTAAGGGGTTAGAAGTTACGGTTAGGGTTAGGAGTTAGGACAACTATTTCTCAACCACATAAAGTACGACCACACATTCCCAATAGCTTTTCATTTGCATACAACTACTTGACCTCGTCGCCTGTGCGTTCCCCGGCCCCACTTGTAAAAGTCCCTATTACCACCGGTTCCGTGTTACAGGTGGCTGGTGTTTGTTTACCTCAGGTGTGGCTACATAACCACATCCGATCATTTAATAGCCTCATAAAATTTCCGACTTATTCAGCTGCTTACCGTCATTGCATATCTATACAGTGTCCTTTCCCATCGCTCACCCAATGTCCACGCGCTTGTCTGATCAACATTTCCTGATTATTTTTACCTGTCACGTTTAAATCGACTTCGAAATCAAACAATCCGAAGTTGGTAGTTATGCCTGTTTCGCCGCCTACGCCATGCTCATATCTGGGTTTTATCAATGAGGAGTGCTTTGTAGCTCCCCTTAAGGCTATTCCAACTGAGGAAGGTCCTGTGGAAATCTAACGGAGTTCACTTTTATGTGAATGCCCTGGCAGCTGGTGAACGGCTAATAATCGATCGGACTGCCTTCGCAAACACCCCCCCTCCACTGTCACCATTACCGCAACCACCACGACGGCGAACAAAGTCTCAACGCCCCGCCGACGCGGACGCACACCATCACCTCCATAATCGCTGCCACAGTCTCCCACTCCCAGCACCAGTGAGAACACTTCCAACGCCCCACTAACAGAGAGTTGGCTGTCCACTGTGTGCACCACGGCAGGGTGGGAGCAGGGACGGTTAACTGAGTGTGAATTCATTTATAGGGATAGTATACTTGTGATGCATCCATCGCACTCTCCCCCACCCTCCACCTGGTTTCGGTGTCCGGAAGAAGACGGGAGAGGGCGCTGGTAGCTGGCATGGCGAAAACCCGCACCTAGACTACCACCGCACCCACTGGTACACAGCAAGAAACATGGAAGGCGGCCCGGTTCTCACTGCGCGGGAGTGTCATACAGGCCACATTAAAGAGGAACAACCTGACTCTCGCCCCACCAACCACCGCCCTCACCGACAGTAATGTGTACTCCATCCCAAACCTTGATACTACACGGAGGCCTGGTTAGTTACTCTTAAATCCGTCGCACTGAGACCGGTGAACCAGTGGCCGGAGCCCCGACATACACTCGCCGCATCCGCTTCAACTGCCCGAGCTTCCCACGAAGATTCCGTCATCGTACTGGCCTAGTCGGCCACACGTACATCCACGACGGTTGAATTCACCGAAATGTTGGCGCCTAAACCACATCTTGTGCATTCGAAAGCTCGCCCATCTCCAGAATTATCAAAACCCTCTTCATCAGAGTCGCCGCCGCCGCAAGAGGTAGGAGCACCGCCACCAAGACAACAGTCACCAACCTATCCTGCCCATACTGTCAACGCGCATGCACGTCACACATCGGCCTCGTAGGTCACTTGCGAATCTATGGCGCGATGGTTACGAAACCAGTGCCAGGAGCACCAATATATAATCGCTGCTCCGCCTAAACTGCCCACATTACCGACAAAGACAAGGGAGAGTGGGATGGCATTTCTGGCTTATTGGCCGCCGTCAGCCAGCCATACCCAAACCCTAGACGCACCACTTCTGGGACTCGATCCTGCGACTTCTAGCCAACAGGTCGCAAGGTCGAACCCCAGGGTTTGCACAGCTCGGGGCTGTCTGACGACAGCTAGTTAGCCGGAAATGACTATTTCAGTCTCCCCTGTCTTTGTCGGCAACGCTATTCTGCCTATACTACGCTCCGATTTGAGGCAGCTGGCTGGGCTCGAGACAGTGAGCCCCAAGGTGGAACGGTAAGAGTGAGTTCCTTAGCGCAATCGATGAGCGTCCCGCTACCACTGCCCACCGGAGGGGTCTACCCGACCGCGTGCATCTCCATTCAAGTCTGCCGTAAACCACTGCAGACCAAACCAGTCAGCACGCATCTCCCCACCAACCGGTATTCTACACAAACAAACCCGTCGCTCATCATCCACCGTAGGCACGGAAGAAGCACCTCTCACGTATGTGAAAAGCGTGTTCCTTCTCTGTGTGGTCGAACGTATGTGAGATTCCAGGAGCATGCCCCCTTATGTTAGTGTTAGGTGTGTCGAGTGGACAGTGGAGCAGGCTGTGTGTGGCACGCGAAGAATGACTGTTTAGCATTGTCAGCTACTGCACTTAACTCGGCCTCCGGTCTTCTTGACTCTATCTTAATGCCGGACCCAGGTGGAGGAGGAGAGAGTGCGGTAGATGCTGCGCAAGTCTACTCATTCGCGCGCAAGTCATTGTCCCAGTGTCCACAATGCTGTGGGGCACACGGCTGACGTCGTCGGCAACGACGGTCGAACTCTGAGTCGTAGATGCCTGTCAACGTTCCTTCGGGTTCTTACTCCAGAACTGCCTTGAATAAAAACACACTGACTGAGATTTGTTTTAGTGTCTAAATGAGGTCAGAACTTGCTGAACAAAAAGACAGCGAGAAGCGGCACCCCGAGCAGGGCATCTGGGCTCAATTGTCACCACAATTTATTCGCACGTGGTAATACCTATCCTGGTGCCCCGAGGCATGGCTGATTCTGACAACTTCTTATCATTTGCAAAGTTCATCTTCTCTAGGTGACACTTTTCCGTTCGTCTGGGCTCTGCTTGGCAAGATATGGTTATGTAGCCCCATCGGATGGACACAATACTGTTGGAGTTGGGGTTAGGGATTAGGGTCAGGGGTTAGGGGCTAGGGGTCATTGGTTGGGGTTAGGGTGGGGGATTACAGTTAGGCGTTGGGGTTAATGGGTAGGGAAACTAGTTCTCAACCCCTTAAAGTACAACTGCGCATTCCCAATGGCTTGTCTATTGCATACAATTGCTTGACCTCGTCGCCTGTGCGTTCCCCGGCCCCACCTGTAAAAGTCCCTATTACCACCGGTCCCGTATTACAGGTGGCTGGGGTT